AAAGAGAGGAACAAAGAGAAAGAGCAAAAGCAAAAAGAGGAAAAGAAGAAAAGAAATATATGTAACCCATCAAATCATTCCATTTCATAAACAGAGTGAAACACCGCATATTTACTCACTTGACATCAACTAGAATCTTGTTTGGCCAGTATGTCCTGTAATATTGCGACCTGCTTTCGAAGCAAGATTGACGCGCCGGCGCTGACTCGCTGAAGCGCATCAGGTTCTCTAGAGGAAGATGTTGAGATCGAAGAAGGAGAAGAAGACGACGACGTAGGAACAGAGCCATTGCTCGCCTCTCCGCCTTCTTCTCTCGCGTGGTGTACAGCGGGTTCGGCTTCGTGCTGACTATTGCGCAGAATATCCTGGGCGTCTGCAATAGCGGCGCGTAATAGCTTAGGTGCTTGAGGGTGAGGGGAGAGGTAAAGCCAGTGAACAACGTCTTGGAGGCCGTGTGTTGGATGCTGTAAGGCGTGCTTGATGAATCCGCGGGAGAGCACGAATGCTCTTTCAGTATAATGGTTTGATGATACTTGAGAATCTTCCGACCCGACTAGGATATCGAAGCCAGCTTCGTCTAGAGGGGAGAAGAAGGGGGTTAGTCAGAGCGTGGGCGAGAGAGAAAGAGAGAGAGAGAGAGGCAAGGGAAACAACTTACTGTAAAACGGTTCTTTGACTAGGACCAAGCCCATCAGACTGACTAGAATTTGAAGCATGCTGGATCGCTGAGGAGACCAGCTCTCATTTTTGGCGTCAGCGGGCCATGTCCCCAGTAGACTCAGGCAGATTTTTCCATCTTCGTAGAGGTTAGGATTGACTCGGCCCATGCCCGCAGTCCATGAATGGAAAAAAGCAGCAGGCGGCGAAGAAGGAAACGAATTGCCGAATTGGAAATCAATCACAAATGGTGCTAATTCGTAAGGGGTATTGCGCGGCCCAAGAATCAGCACCCTTATGATGTCAAGACGGGATTCCCATGTCCTGACATATATTCCCTCCGGAAGAGACTTTTCTAGTATCTTATGTTCCTTGCGAATCCGGCGCATGAGATTGGATGTCAGATCAGGCATATTTCCGATAAAATGATGCCCTGCAGGGGGTTCTTCGTCCAAGATTGCAAAGTTTAGTGGGCTTTCCAGGCAGCTGGGAGTCGTAAAAGCGCCCGCTACTGAAAGGTCCACTGACTTGTCATTCAATTGACCATTTGAGCCCGATAATTGATATGCTGGGTCCATGGCCGGATCATGCAGCTTCTGCGAGCTCAAATCTGCATGCTCACTCTGAGCAGCTTGATTCTGTTCATCCACATCCTCCAAGGTTGTATCCGAGTCAGCGACCGAACATCCTTCTTCGTCAGTAAGCCACACGTCATCTCCGCCATCCGCATCAAGTCTCTCTCCGCCTTCGTACTCGATAGTTTGCTCTAGAACCTCGTCAGATTCATAAGAGTCATAGGCATCTGAACTCCACCAGTTCTCCGAGCCATCATTATCGCTGCTATCAGAGTAAAATCCTTCGTCCCCGTCCTCTTCATCGCCATTCATGATAACCGTGAGTCGCTCAATAGGCACGCGTATGTCACAAGCGCTAGGCAAACCACAAAGGCGTACGGTGACAAGACCATCCAGTCCGAGATCTACTATCTCTCCGAACCAATCAATAGGGGAACTTTGACCAGATGCAACCACTGAAGCCAGCTGCGCCTGCATCTGCGCAGCCGCGTCCCGGACATGTTGGGCTCCCGAACGAGCTAGAATGGATAAAGCAGCAGAAGTGGCCGGTAATAGGCCTGAAGATGATATTGCACTCTGAAGCTGACTGAATTGATTGAATGCTTGATCAGAACTGGGCTCGACGAGAGTTCCAGCGATAGAGCCGATCATTGACGCAAGCTCGTTGCCATCAACAGAATTTGGTAGAACAAAATCTCCATTATTTGCATCTTCTGAACCGGTTGGGGGTGACAAGTAGGAGGAAATTGATGGCCCAACCAGCACAAAGTCCCCTCTCCGTTTGGTTAAGGCTGGAAATGCGGAGATCTCGTAAAAACTGACCTCCTCAGAATTATCAGATAGTGGCCCGCAATGAGAGCCAGGGAGCAGAATCGACTTCCGATCGCCGGCTAATTCCAATTTCGGGTCCAGGAACCATCTGATGCAGGCAATACGACCCAATGCATCCACTGACTGTACAATACCGACCTTTTTCGGCCGATATACTTCTTCGTCATGAAATGTACCTGCGGCAACACCGCTGCTGGGAATTGCCCCTTCAGCTCTGCCCTGGTCAAGAGAACCAGCGAGCTGAGAACCTTCTTTGACTGCAACAATCTCGCCAGGCCACACATCATTGTCATCCACATTGATGTAAGGCACTAAAGCCGTGCTCTCTTCTTCAGTCGTGGTCATGTCTTGCCAGAGGACGGTAACGAAGCTTTTCGTTCCGATAACGTAAAACGTGTTAAGGTCGTAGCCAGATGCTGAGCTTGGGGGAATGGCCTTCAACTTAGCCTGGCGCTGTCCCGTCCTAGTGACGCTCGATCCGTCGTACTTTACGCAAGCTCCCGTCAAGTCTCTGAACCGAACCCGATCAGCAATGCCAATATCAGATCCATTCGTAAAACCAGCGGGGTTGTCGCTGCCGTTTCCGTCGCGTGGAGGTAGCCTTCCTCTGTCATACACTCGCAATCCTTGGTGACGGTAATCCTTTAGATTCAATAAATTTGGAGGCTCCGATTGGATGCCCTGGCGATCTGGAGACAGAAAATTTTGGAATAGCCAACGAACTTCAATTTCTAATCTTTCGACACCAACAACGTACCCACGCGGAGGAGTAGAGGGATTATAAGACCTCTGTTTCCACTCCCCTCGTCGCAGGTTGCCTTTCTTAGTCACCACTAAGTCGCCGACAGCGATACGATCCACCGGCATTGTGTCCAGCTTGCTCATGTCTTTCGTATCTTGCAAACCCACCGGGAGTTCCAACTCATCCGGAAGCTCCACGACGACGATGCCTCCGTCTTCCAAGCGGACAGTGACCTCGTCAAACGTTTCTTCGATCCTTCCCAACCATCCGTGATAAGTTACGAAATCGCCGATTCGATAAGATTCAGTAAACTGCAGCTCTGCAGCCGGTATATCAAAGAAGAAAGGCACGCCCTCCTGATTGGGCAAAGGATTCGAAGTATACTGTAGTCCTTCAAACGCTTGACTGTTTGCCCGCTCTTCTGAATAAGGAGTGGTCGTCGCGGAACTTAGAGCGGTTGGAAACGAAGGGACAAGATCGCAATGTCTTGAAGTATTTATGACGGTTCCGCTCATTATTTGCGTAGCATTTTTCTTCACTATATCCCCAAACTCCAGCGCTCGGTCCAGCAATATGAGGTGAGATTCGTGGATGAGGAGAGCGCCATAGGCTGGATCAAGAAATTGCACAAGTGCATGCTGTCGCGGGGGCTTTGCTTGCTTGGTCAGCTGGGAGCTTTAAATGGTTGAAAAATTAAATATATGAATTGCCATACCGTGCCTAATGCGAGAAACTTTTTGTACTGATTCTCTGGGACATCTTGATGCCGTTTAATACCGTCCAGTCGTTCACTCAAGGGTGTATGACCGTCAACCTTGTCGAAGAGGTCAGCTTAAGAGCCCATGTCACTGAATGCAGCAGACGGTTTTTGTAGAAAAATTTAATCGGTTGCCTACATCGTGCCAGGTACGCTAGTTCATGTCAGAAGTTGTCATCCAAATCTGGACCAAGATCATAAACACTTGCCTCAACAACGCCCACCACACCTGGGTTACTTTTTAATGCACATGAGTCCTCCTCGAAGAACTGTTTAAAAGATCAGTTACATTCCCTAGCTTCAGAGACATATCTTCTCCAGATGTCCTTACAGTTTGATGTGACATGATATGACTGTTTCTAGCACTGGACCAGGAGGTAAATGATTGGAAATTAGCCGGTCAGAACCCAGATTATCCTATACAACGCGGCAGGGACGACGCTGAAGGGAGACTCCGCTCAGATCATCGTCTCCTCGCCGACGAAAGGATATATTTGTCTCTTTCCCACCCAGACAAATCAGCTCGAATTTGGCCTTCACATGTGAATGGGACGTGGGTGAGCGGTCAAGCCCCGGAAAGATTGATTAGTCATCAGACGGTATCCCAACTCTCGATCTCCGAGGGTAACTGAAGTATCCCCGGACTGTCACCATCCATAATACTAACACCAGGCGTGCAGTTTCACCGAGCTTTGCGTTTCGCTTTCCGACTTTCCCATCGTTGATCCGGCCATGTAGCATCAAGATGCCCGTTTTTACCTAATTCAGTGATCAGTATATCACCTAAGTGAGTGGACCTTCAGACTGCGGCTGGCCGCAGTTTTCTGATAAACATGGCGGATCCTTTACATGAGCTTCTGAGCCCCTACCTGGGGCTGCAGTCTCCCTCTGAAGAGACTTTGTCTGAAGACAGCATCATTTCCGATTACCTATCAAGCCTCTGCACTCTCTCAGTGTCTTCTCTGAACACGTCCGAGCCTCAATCGCTCTCGCAATCGCTACAATCGAAACTACTATCGCTTCAGGCGTTGTCGACACGGTCTTACAGCTCCTTGATATCATCTTCGGACTATCTTTCGACACTCCGATTTCTTCTACCGAAAGTCTCGAGTGATACAAACCAACTTCAAGATGACATCCCAGGGTTGGATAAAGAAGCTGTTCGATTTGCCCACACATTCCACAAAAACGCCGAAAACCCTTTGCTTGTCCGACGGAAAAAGGCAATGCTTCTTGCCAGGAACGTGGATCGACTAGGAGACATGCTTGACCTTCCGACTCTCCTTTCGTCAGCGGTCACGCCGCTATCAACGAGCTCCAATGCCAATGCCGCGCTTGGTAGCCAATACTCCTCTTCATTCAACGCAAACTATGCTTCAGCTTTAGAGCTGTTCGCACATATCAAACGACTTCGAACTTTATATCCGTCCTCTCCGCTTGTAGATTCGATTGTCTCTGAGGCCGAAGTGGCCATGCGGGTTATGACGACAAATCTGATTTCCAATTTGAGAACTCAAGGCATCAAAGTCGCTGGTGGGATGCGGATCGTTGGATGGTTACGACGACTTTCCCCGGAACTCGACAATTCACAAGGATTTTCGCAAGCTGGGGTCAACCTCATCTCACAGGAAGACGGTCTTGGCGCTCTTTTTCTCGTTTGCCGTCTAGCAAGCCTTGTTGCAATGCTAGAAGCACTAGATCCTCTTCGAGAATTGGCTGAGCAAGAACTCGAGAGACGGGTGGCGAGCGAAAAGGCTCCAAATGTGACTGATGCCAACGGCCCTTCTTGGGCTGGCGGCCAGCAGACGGAGCGATATCTGAAACGCTATATTGAAATATTTCGTGAGCAAAGCTTTTCTATTGTCTCTATGTATAAAAGCATTTTTCCATCGCTTGTTAGTGCTTCGGACGGGAGTAGGGAGCAACTGGCACCGCAGACAAAGTCAAATTTACCGTCGCACTATGTTAGAGACATCAAAGCTGCAGCAGACCCATCAGCGACAGATCCTTTACAGCCGATTCCTTCTTCGCTGTCTACGTTCCCTCTTCATTTGGTCTCTTTGCTTATTGATACCCTACGAAGATATCTTCCCAGTGTCAAAGATAAGGGTGCGCGAGAGAGTCTCCTCACACAAGTTCTTTATTGTGCAGGAAGCCTAGGCAGGCTTGGTGGCGATTTTAGTGTCATGCTCGCATTTCTCGAAGACAGCGACGATGACGACAGCGAGGGAGGAGAAGAAGATGAAGAGTTCGAGGTCGAGAACACTGAGGGCACCTCGTCAAATTCTGTTGAATGGGCGGAGATGATCAAAAAGCACCGTTTGCTTGCTGGGCGCCTGGAGTTACTAGCCAGTGGAGCTGGTACGTCTCAGAATTGGTCCAAACGCCCTTCTGTGGGAACATAGACGTAAAAAGACACTGTTTTCCACCTCTTGATATCACATTATACTGTATTCTACGTTGAGCTCAAATGTCTGTCGCCTTCTGGCTGGGCGTTAAGCTCTCAGGGGGTCTACCTAAATGTTCTGTTGTTTGATACCTCCTTTCCCAGGTCATTTCTGTTCTCATTTCGTGGATTGCTTAGGCGCATATGAAGGGCATCTGGCTTTGGAGAGATTTAGATGGGTTGGAATACAATTACTTTAATAAGCAGCAATAGAGCTGCTGCAATCTTCTAAAAACAACGAGAAAGTGAAATTATGGTTTATACAAGCAGTAGATCTGGCCCCTGGAACCATAATTGCCTCGGCCCGTCAGAACACCCGGGCAGCGGGAACACTAGCGCCAATCGGGTAGCATATCCGGCTCTGGGGAACTTCTCCCCATTAACGGTACTTGTTTGTTCCCGATTAAGTGATTGTCGTCCACCATCTGCGCCTGATCGAATTTATTCGTTACTCCGGCATCTATCAAATGCTTACTCCACGCCATTTTCCTAAGGGCGCTTCTATCCTAGGATATCCACATCATCCTTGTCCGATAACGACCAGAGTCTTCTCACTCTAGTGGAATCTTTTCACATTGGCACTCCTGACGAGCTCAAGCTTATCTGTCGGGCCCGGCCCTCTGAATGGCGTCGCAAACTACTGGCCCGATTTCGGACCAGAATGGGAAGATTGACCCTGCAAAAGCTGGGAGATATTCTGTATCTTTGGGTGAAAATGTTTTGAACCAACACTCACCTCATTCAAAGGTCTACAGTAGTATTCGATGTCTGTCGCTCTATCCCTTGTTATAGTTAACTTCCTTTGAAATTAACTTTCTGACACTATGCAGTCAACCACAAACCTAGCCAGACCTCTCAATCGCGAAGGACAAGCATCACACCGTCTCGGTCGGGGAAGGAAAAGTACACTCTATCAATCAAAGACGACTCTGAAGAGTCTGATGCGTATACCTATGTTGGCGCCCGAAGAAAACGATCTCCGTCCCAGTCTTATCTTCTCATTTACGAATCTAGCAGTCAATCGTTTACACTTGAACAGGTGGACTGGGATTTCTCTTTCAATCTCACGAGCGCTAGTTGGGAAAGAGACGCGGATACTCTAGCTCAGCAGTACCCCCAGCTTCACTACGGTGATGGCTCAGACTCTGAAGGAGAGGGCGACTTTGCTGAGGTGCCCGATGACGCGAGTCCAGAAGAGAACAATCCTTATGATTTTCGGCATTTCTTGAACAAAGGGAGGAGTCCCTCTCCAGAATCACAGGAGCCACAAGAGCCACCCAAAGTTTCGATCGCACATAGTTCTCCTCCTCCCAAGAGAACGCAAATGGCTGTACAATCGAAGCGCAAGCCCCGCTCCAAATTATCCGAGTCGAAAACAATGAGTGGGACAACAAAGCGGAAGCAAGATGTGTCAGCTGCAGATGACGAGTCGTCGCCCCCGTCGGACGACGATAGTAACGTCCTCAAGATTGAGACGGAGCCCCAACCAACTTCCAAAACAAAACACATGATCTCAGACGGTGAGCTTACCATTGAGATGGACCCTGACACAAAGCCACGCCGCGGATTAGCCGGTCACTTTTCAGGAGTCTCAGCTCGACTGAGCTCCCGCGGGCCCATGTCACTACGATCTGCTGCAAGCTCGGTTAGTCCTGCCGCCAGCGGCCGAGTGAGTCCAGTCGGGGCTGAGAGCAGTTCTTCGGAAGAGAGCGATACGGAAGAAGGGCAACTATCGAAACCGACATTGGCTGCCGACGGAGATGTCGAGATGCTTGAACTTCCTTCTCCAGGTTTTGCGCAAACACCTGGGGACGGTGCCGAGGACGCGGATGAGGCGGACGACGATTTAGAAGCCGAGCTTGCGCAAGCGCTTGAGTCTCAGGAAAGGGAGCAGGCTACGGATGACGTCCCCTCTTCGGCAGCCTTGCAAAGGAGAGTAGTAGAAAGCGAGAGTGAGAGTGAAGAAGAATAGTGCACATGCATCAATTGGGAGTTCGGCTTGGTAGGAAGTGGCGTTTTTTCGGATTCAATGGCTCTTACGATACACAAAGTGCGCCTATATGGCAAGGTCTGCCGCAATGGATTTTGTCCATTTGTACTTCTACCAACTTTTGATATCACTTTCAAGTGTCGGGCATTAGGTACTCGGAAGTTCCGTACAACACGACGTGTCATCGTCAATATAATGACCTGTATGATGCCACGCGTAAATGCACCAATATACGTCAAATAAGAGGATTAAGGCGACCTTTCGCGTGGTTTTCTCATCGAACAACATGCAATAATACAAATTTATCATCAAGGTCGTCCAATCCCATCATCATTGCCTTTTACTAAAAGCAAGAACGTATGACGATCCTAACGTGGTACATGTTTTGTTACTGCAAGGCTGTAGCTTTGAGAGAGAGAGAGAGAGAGAGAGAGAGAGACACTCAATAACATATTAGGAAGCCTACGGTCCTACTTTCGGACATACTTCGAAAAGCAGGCCATCAATTGGCATGCTTTTCACCAGCTACAGGTTTGAGTAACGTCCAAAAGAGAATGTCCAGGCGATTGGTCGATTCTCTGGCAGGGAGTTGGCGTTCTTATGGAATAATAATGTCGCATCACGTCTCGTGGCAGGATGGCAAAGAGCGGTTGAATTAAGTAATGAATTGGTCATCGAATCTCTGATCCCAGCATATACAGGGATGAGGTTGGGGGAATTTAGATGAGACGATCGCGTAATGGGGTGGTGAGACGGGATGCCGATAAACGCTCGACCCGGCAAAGATGATCTGCTAGGAAAAATATCTGCTAACAGATGCCTCTTTCGTTTCAAACGACACCGTTATCTGCTGCAGTAAATAATGGGATGGGCAACCCCCGCGGAAGAAAACGCCCGCCGAGGATAGCCTAGCCGAACCGAGGGAGAGGCGGCGTTACCGGTTATCGGCGCGCTCCACATGCCACATTTCACTTTGGGGAGGTGACCAGAAATAATGCAGTCACAGAAACATGGGAAGCCCAGGAATTTGCTACATGACACGACGGTTTTGGGTTTCTATTACAGAATCGCAACCTTTAGTTGACCCGTGACCCTTTGTTCTCCGACCCCTTGTCGAATTCTGTTCTTCCTTTTTACTTGATGGAAAGGCTGATTATTATTTCGCCGAGATACAAACCTAAATTGAATTATTATTGGAAGATATCGTTAAACTCTCTTATGCCGCCCACATACCAAAGCAAGCACAGAGGGGAAGAGTTCAGGGGCTGAAAAGCAGGCACCCAATGTCTACTGTGCCGCAGAGAAACGTAATAGTTTGAATATGTGTGATCTGAGAGGATGAATGCATGATGATCGGATTTCAGTTATACTTTTTTTTTTGGCTTGGAAACTGACATCGGTATCTATCGGAAAACCTTTGAGGCGTGGAAGACGAAGGTGACCATGGCCAACCTTAATCCACTGGCCCAAAAGACAGCATTAGAGTGAGCACGTGATCAAGACAGAAAGACAAAACTTCCGTGGGGGTTTTACCGCAGCGAGAAGTAAAATACACGCGCGGTGGCCTGAATAGGAAAGATTTAAGGAACAAATTGCAATGAAAAAAAAAAAAAAAAAAAAGAGGTCTCAGGGACCTCCGCTGAAGAGCCCACAGGGAAAAAGAAGGGATCATCGCAACGATGATGTCGCTGTGAATAATCATATGTCAGCCTTGGAAGGTACTCCATTCTTTCGTCGCAGCAGCTAATTGAGACTGTTGCTAATGGCTTGGTGCTTATAAGACAAATCCGTAGGTGATGATTGGCTTTTGGGATCCCTTATCTCTGACACCCCCCCCCCCTCCTTGGACTGGCGACTACCGCCGAGCGAGGATGGCCTCTGACCCTAACGATAAACATGGCAATCCATAGCAGCCGCCGTTACCATCCTTTGCTCTTGCGCCTTATTCGACTTGGCGTCGGAGATGAGCCCCCCCCGGTGCGAAGGTGCTCCGATTACGTCCTCCACGGCAGCATGGCCCAGGATCCGATGATAAGGGCTTGTGCATGGGCTGAGGTTAAACTTCTCTCGGGTTTATCTTACGTTTGGAAACAACCTTCTCCACTGAACTCACTGTTTCGGACCGCAAGAGACTCAAGTCATCGATAATAGGATGAATTGGGCTTGATAACAGAAATAATGAATCCAGCATACGATGCCATCCTCCACGTTAGCCAGGGTCCCACGCTTCAGTCCGGTCGTCTATCTTTCCCACTGGTAGCTTTTCCCTTTCCTTTCTCTTCGCGAACAATCACTTCTGTCCCTGCTCCTTTTGTGTCAGCGCTGTCCGCGTTAATTTGCTTGTTTTGTCTGTGCCATGACCGCGAGATCCCTCCAATATCTCATTCTTCTTCAATCACTAGCGGGCACTTCGAAGCCTTGATGCTGGAGTAAACAAAGGGCAACCGCCAGTCATATATATCTCATCGGCTGTTCTGTGTGCTTGATACTGCTATCATATCATTCAAATATTCAGGAGGCGCGATAAGCCCCTCGGAGAGGTGCGATCTCCGTCTATCGTGCGCCTAGATCCTAGAAAGCTTGGCCCATCGCATATCTGCCCATGCGCTGGGAGCCAAAAGTGAACACAATCAAGCCCTGCATAGTGCCATCATCGGCCATTCCCCCCCGGCACGAGACGGCCTCATTCACTGCCGCGATCCTAGCATCAGCAATCAAAAAGCAGTGAAGCGGGTCGCTGCTATTTTGACCTTCTAGAAGCGGTGGCCGCCAGGGAGTATCCGGAGGCTCTGCTGAGCACGTACGTTACCGGTATCATAAGCTGGTAAATTCTCGACATTGTCACTTGAACGGCATGGCTGCTGCCGTCACCATCCGCCCTTCAATATCTCCGTCTACCCTTACGTCGATTATTGCGCACCAAAGCAACAAGCGGGTGATGCCAGTCAAAGAAAATCAAATAGCTGCCAAAAGCGCATTAGGCCCTGGCGAGACGCCTGCTACTCGTGCTCGACGTGAGCGTCCATGTGATGCCTGTCGAAAGCGGAAAAGCAGATGTGTGATACATGAGGGCGCTATGGGCTGCGTGCTCTGTGAATTTCACAATCAAGAATGCACTTTTGTGCAAGATCCCCAACCAAGGAAGAGGAAGCCACCGGCCCAACCCCAACCCCAGGAAGAACAAGCGCCGACCCGAAGAAGGTACGTTGTTCAGCCCAGGGCACATTCTTTGCTTCATCTGTACCGTTTTCTTTTGACACTCTTCACAGATCAATCGAGCTGCCCCAGCAACAGCAGCTCAAGCCTCCTCAACAATCAAATCAACCAATTGCTATAACTCCAGACAATCGCGCTGGTCTCTCCTCTGACAACAACTTAGCCGCCGGAAATGTTGAACCCCAACTTCGAAAGACATCCCTGTCCTTAGACCTTGATGCACGAAGACACATCAAGTACATCGGCACGACCACTGAGTTTGAACATATGCTGGCTGACCTATACCCCTTTGATGGAAACGACGAGAGCCTTCTTCCCTCGGCAACGCTGCGAAGGGTCAGTGATTCCGACATGTTTCTGATGCTTCCTGAGCAAGGAAATGCCGAGTATGAAATGGACGTCAAGGATCACGAGACCCTGGAGGAAATCATATCTCCTCATGGTCCAGCCCTGGTGGAACTGTACTTTGAGGTTATCCATGACAGTTTTCCTGTACTCGAAAGAGAATTTTTCCTGGAGCAATACCGCCGTACACCCAGTGCCTTTCCTCCAGCGCTCTTGTCGGCCGTGTACCTCGTTGCTTTGAATTGGCGGGGTTCAGGTTCATTGGATGAAGCGTTCAATCCGGACATTGCGCGATTAGAAAATATTGCTCTTCGAACCTTGAGTAGTGTCAGCCGATTGCCCGAACTCTCGGTTGTCCAAGCTGGCCTTTTGCTTCTGCAATTACCAAAGGGAGACAACTGGAACTTGACGGCTCAGTTAGTCGCAATTGGCCAAGAAATCGGTCTCCATCTCGATTGCTCTTCTTGGCAAATTCCTGCCTGGGAGCGTGGCCTAAGGAAAAGGGTTGCATGGGCATTGTACATGCAAGATAAGTGGGAATCATTAGTTCACGGTCGCCCATCACACATATTTGGTGCCAATTGGGCGGTTAAGCCTTTGTACGATGTCGACTTCCCTCAACCCACTAATGGTGGTTCAGAAGATGACCAGTTCGACGCGGAGAAGAGCAGAGTTCTTTTTACACAAATGATTTACCTCACGCAAATTTTGGCGGAAATTCTGGACATTTTCTATACGGAGCGTGCTACACAGCAAATCAGAGATGCTGGTGCTAGTGGGACAAGACTGATTCTCGAACGAGCCAAGCCAGTCCAAATAAGCCTAAAGGAATGGTACTCTCGTCTTCCTACCTGCGTAAAAATGGAAAGCAGTCATCCAGAGCGGCTCTCTTCAACAGGTAAATTTCTGGCATCACCTATCTAACGCTTATTATTTTTTGGAGGCAACTGTGCTAACCAGTATTTCGCATCATCTTTGCAGGCTATCTTCATCTCGCATATTTCGCAACAGAGATTACACTCCATCGTCGAATCGTAGGATCTTTGACTGCCGACGCAACCGATCCCTATCTGGAGCATATTTGTCGCTCAGCCGCCAAGACCCGATTGATATCTGCAATGGATTTTGTCAACCGACTAAAGCCAGCCCACCTCCGAGCGTTCTGGTTCTTTGCATCCCGCGTGAATTTTGCTCTCATCGGTACCTTTGGGAGTCTGCTTCTCGCGACGGCTCCGACCCGAGAAGAGGCCAGTTTCTATAGATGCCGCCTTGGCGAGTATCGATGGACCTTGAGAGTGAGCACCAAGGCGGCACCTTTTCTCGACTTCGCCGTTGGCGCACTCGATAATTCTACCGGCCTTGTACAATCTCTTCCCGAAAAACCACCACATGCCACCGCCGTTCAACAACTACAAAGACAAATGGCAACTATGGCCCAGCGAGCACCGCTCGTGACCGACGAACCAATGGCCGATGCTACCAGTGACGGAGCAGGTCAGGCATCGTTGCCTCAGGGCGAGTCCTCACACCATAGAGATGCTAGCGATCAACCCTCCGGTCTCGTTTCTCCAGTCACCTCTTCACCTAGAAGCGTCATTTCGCAGGATGCCTATGCTCCAGAGCATTCAATCGATTACGTCTCAAGCCTTGGCGGCTGGGCTCCGTAGACAGTCGACGCATTATCATGACCTCATTTTTTTTTTTTTTTTTTTTTTAGCTTTTTCAACGAAGCATGCTACACCTGTATATGACTCTGATTCGCAGCATACGTTAGATTGCATGATATTTTGACCAGGGTTCATCTTTCTCCGGTTGCCCTGGCCCCATCATTAGCTTTTTGCAGCATTTTTAGCGACAAGATATCATCTCCTGTTTGAAAACATTGCTGTCACTTTTTCCCTGGCATTTCCGGGTCGAATAGCTTTTTTTTTATTTCTTTTTTCAAGAGGACCATGCCAATCAGCGAAATGGATTAGAGTTTGGACAAGAACAGTTCCTCGGATTCTTTGCATGAACCTCGTTCCTGATGGGATGGAATGTTTAGGAAGACTGTTTTTTGATTTTGAGTTGCTGTGTAAGCACTCATTTTAGATATATTGTGCACTATTGCCTCTCATGCAAGAATCATTATGGTACTTTTACATTTTCATTACATGCATTGCATCGTGTAGAAAATTTGATAACAAATGTCCCTGGCATAATACATTCAATGCCCAATCATTCCTGACCCCTCCCTTTTTTTTCTGCGCCTTCTCTTTCTCTCTTTTATCTCTTTCGTGCTCCCTCTTTCATATACATGACCAATGAGATCAATGAATCATGTCTCTCGACCCAGAAGCATGCTAATAAGCTGTATCACCATCCAGTTATACAAGTAGCCTCAATGCTTGAACCCTCTTCTTTTCAGCATGTCCTTGGCCAGTCGGGTGTCGATATATGGCTTATGTAAGCAACGACAAGGGGGTTCGTCCGTGTCGTCCAAGGTCCGTGTCGTCCGGTCCGAGCCCTCGGAGCGAGGAGGGTCGAGGGTCCAATGCGGCCTCGGCCGCGTTATTCTGCCGCCATATACCGCCTCCGTTATCGGACCTGGGGTAATGTTGCAACCCACTGTCCAGCGTTACATTTCCACCCAGCTGATTGACGCGCGACATGGAGGTAGATAGGTCAAATTGGGCAAGTGAGTAATGATACGAGAGAGAGGGAGGGGCAGCTGATATCGGAGCTGTCTTGGATTTGGATCTGGGGTATATAAAGGTCGTAGAGGGACGCGGGGTGAGAGAGAGTGTGTGTGGATATTGTATAAGAGTTGAGAGTTAAGAATTCAACCGCGGAATCGAAGCGTATTCTTCTCTTTCTTTTTGGATATTTATTTGTCTTTTGATATACAGTCTATACTGTATACTGAGTGTGTGAGAAGTGGAGAAGTGATAGTAAAGGAGAGTCATCCGACCAGCGGAAGAAGCAAATATCAAATATCAAACATCAAACCGCAAACAACAAACAGCAAGCAGCAAAAATGGCGACTCACAATACGGCAAATACTAGTCCAAGGGACGAACAACAACAACAAAAGAAAGAAAAGAAAGACCAGTGGTCCCCTGAAGTGAGTGAGAGAGCATTCTTCTTCTTCTTCTTCTTCTTCTTCTTCTTCTTCTTCTTGCCGCTACGGCGGCGCATTGGCAAATACATTATTGCTAAACATCATCATGATCAAGGATTACAAAACGTCAGCGTCCTTTGTCCCAGAGCTCACTACAAAGGTAGTACAGCTTCTAGACCCTCGTCCGGGTGATCGGATTCTGGACATTGGTTGCGGCGACGGGGTACTCTCCGTCAAGATTGCCCAAGTCGCTTCAGAAATGCTGGGGCTTGATTCGTCTGCAGCAATGATTGCAGGTGCACGTCAGAAGCTCAAGGGAAGCACTGCGTCAGGATTTGAGGTGGCTGACTGTCGGTACATTGCGCAAGAGTTGGACAACAAGTTCGGACAGCCAATGAAATGGCAGGGCACGTGGGACAAGGTCTTCTCGAATGCAGCCCTGCATTGGATCCTCAGGGATCCGGCAACCCGGAAACAAGTGTTCCACGACATCTACGCGGCGCTTAAGCCCGGCGGAACGTTTGTGTTTGAAATGGGAGGCGCGGGTAACGTGAGCGAAGTCCATACGGCGCTCGTGGCGGCAACTGCGCAAGAAGGCGCGCTGAGCATTGAGGCGGCACGCAATCTCAGTCCCTGGTTCTTTGCAGATGAAGATTGGATGCGAAATGTGCTGGAAGACGCGGGCTTTGAGGTCCTCGGTCTCGAGTTGGAGTACAGACCTACAAAGCTGACGGCGGACAAGAATGGGGGTATTGCTGGCTGGGTGCGTTTGATGGGCAGTCCTTTTCTTGATGCGCTCCCTGCGGACCGCCGCGATGCTGCTGTCGAGAAGGTCGTGGGCTATGTCCAGAATTCTATAGCCAGAGAGGATGGCACCGCGTGGCTGGGATATGTCAGGCTTCGGGGCAAGGCGCAGAAATGTGTGGCTTAGTATCGTGGCCTGCGCCGAGGTCGGTAATTGTTTATATATTTTTTCTACAGTTTGGTTCATGCGGGTAGTCCTGGTCCGAATTCTGGTTTAGGCTCTTGTGTCTTTTAATAGTTTGGTCATGCTGCAGCGTTTGCTAGTGACAGGTTTCTCTTGCAATTGTATCACGTTTCTGTAGTTCGTATGGAATTTCTTGTCTGAATCAATCAATCTTTGGAGAACTCTGATGAATTTTTTTTGTTGTTTGTTGTTTTGGTTAATTTAAGGGGAAAAAAAAAAGGGGGGGGGGGGGGATTTTGATTAAACGCTTTAGAATAGTAGTTGTATAAAGTGTATAAAGTGTATCAATTTGCTCTTACTGAGTTTCAAGAGAAGGCAAACTTCATGGTGCTTGGTTTGACAAATCGGTATTAAGTGGCTGTCTATTGGATCCCGATTTTGGATAAGCTACTTTCGAAATGAAAGTTCTCGAACGCGGCTTGACAAATTAAGGTAGATTGATTTGCGCTAAGAATGGATATCGCTCAATGATTTGCAATTATGCAAATCAGAAACGGCACGTTTGTTCCTTCGTCGAAAAGGGTCATTTGGTGGAATTGATCATCATCATCGGGAATTAGTTCGCAAGTACGGTAGGTTGGTGGTCGATGACGGAGCCGGGGTTGTCATTTTGTGGATATGATTGCGTCAGGGGCCACAACCAGCCGACAGCGTTACTTTGTGGTGGGTTTGGAGAAGCTTGACAGCGCGAGGGGAAGAAGCCCTCGAGGTCTCTCCCAAGTACCAAAAGTACCCTATGACGACGTTCACAGGGTCTGGCTCAGACTGTTGTCTACGCAGGCAGAAGAAGGCGGGCCAAGGGTCTCATGTATCTGTACCTTGAACGCTTCCCCCCATTTCCCCCCAAAAGAGAACGGCTCGAAATTGATGGGAGCGAGCGACACCCGGACCGACAGGTCCCGCCCCCCCCCCCCCCCCCCCCCCCCCCCCCCCCCCCCCCCCTTGTCGTCACCATGTTTCTGCGCATGTTCTTGTTCGCTTCCATTGCTCGTTCTTTCCGTCGTTACTCCTAAGCACCGTACTGATCATCATTGAATTAATCTATTCTTTCCCCTTTTTCTTCATTGAAGTACCTGACGCATCATTTGGAGGCTGAACCCTTGGTCGGGCCCAAGGGTAAGGGTACTGGTAGATGCTGCTAACCAACCCCGACTGTCAACATCTGCTCTAAGCGAACAAGCACTGAATCGTCTCCAATTTTTTGTGCCCCAGGAGCCCCAGTTCAGAGCGCCTCAGCGTCATTCTCTTCCGATTCTTCGTCAATTCCGCCTGGGGCTTTGGAAATCATCGTCCAAATTTGTCCAGCATAGGAATCACACAAGCCTTATTTTCTTTTTTTTCGGCGTCAATTCGGGGACTAGAGTATCTTTTCCACGCGCTCACCTTATGGGGCCCCAATTGAACTTGATCCACTAACGTGCCTAGGACAATAAGCGCCAAAAAAAATGCTTTGAGGGGTTTTGAGGAGACCAAATCTTCATGTTCAACGCGTGGTTGCTGATCGTCAACTGCTGCCGCCAACAACAACTGATTATCTCCACTCGTACAGTGTCTCTGGTTGCAAGCACGCGACCGGGAAGTTATGGTACAATGAGCAAAATTTTCAAAAGCGAACTAGCTCTCCAATGAACATAACCCCAGCATGCATGCAAATCCCACAAAACCATTGAGACGATCCTTGGCTCAATTTTTGATTGAATGCAACTATATGAGGGCCGGAAAACCGATCCTGAGCGGACTTGGCGATATACCACAGTATATCACCAGCGACCGAGCAAAGGAAAGAAAAAGGGGCAAGCTCTCCAAATGAGCACTGGGTGTTAGTTTTATGTGAGACGAGTGGGATATAATTTAGTCTTGTGCGCAGAGCTTCTGGGCTAGGGGAGTGAAAATGATTCAGGGACCGGAGGGGGATTCGAGCAGGGGTGACCGCCGCCTAAGGGTTGACCATTGTCATTGTCAACTTCCTTTCTGAGGCAATAGCTTCAGATCCTCCTAGATAGATTGCGGTGACCGTCGCGGGCGTGCTGTAGCCCTGCCTTGCCCATTCGCCCCGTGGGTGGGCTTGTCCGCGTCTTCTATCTTCTTCTTCTTCTTGGCCCTACGTTCCCGTGTAGTGTTCGGCTCATGGTACCCGCGTGTCCTGGATGGGAGTTGGCGCTAGAGTAAGTGTGAGCGTCGTATTGTACCGGTACACAGTTTTCCATGGCTTGGATGTTCCAGTCTGTCTGACTTCATCTTTGATCGATACTGCTCTAGTATTCGCCCTGTACCCGCCCGATACCACTTGGCTCAACCGCCGTCCCTCCCTTGGGGCAAAGGTCCCGAACACGAAACTGTCTGACATTTTGGTGCTTTTTTCGAACCACCTCAGTCAGTACTCCGTAGTCCAGCATTCTGAGTGCTCATTCTTCCCTTTTCCCCCTGTCTTTCAGAGGTCGCGACCATATCGTCGTTCAGTTTGCCCTTATTCCTCTCTTCACCAAATTCTCAGTCGGCGCTATACCACACCTCTCCGCCTAGAACTGCTGGCTGCACCTCGCACTGCACGCACACACACCCACACCCACACAACGCCCCCCAGAGGCAGCCTCAACTCATCCTCGCTCACTCACTAAACTTACTACTTGACCAAAACCTACGATCGCCCTTCGACTCCCACCTCGTTTTCCTCTCATCTGCCTCCCTGCCCCGGCTAACCCGTCCTTCTGAACCTCTCACACTCCCTTTTCGCTGGAGAACGCGTGCTTTCTTCGCCTTTGCCGACTTAGGACCGGTTCCTACGCCTTTCAGATTTCCGCATTTGGAGCTTGAGCACCCTCAGCCAAACTTGAACACACTGCATCAGCACTCGATCAACTTCTAGATCCATTGGACGTCGAATCTCATTTCCATCGCCAGCCGAGGACCCTTGTCCGAGCCTTGTACATGCCCTCGAATTCCCAACTGATATTTTGCTATTAGCGGCCCACGACTCGCCCAACCTTTAAGACCTGTCTGCAATCCGTGATCTCATGAGACGCGAACTTTGCTCCTCGTCAACCTCATCCGGTCTTTCTCTGCTGGTGGCGCCTGTCTTCCCATCTACGTCTTTTTTGGAGCGAGCTCAAGTCATTACCGCTGTCTCGACATCGCCAACATCTGGTGGCTGGCCCACGGTTGACGGAAGTGGGGTTGCGAGAGCGAGAGCCTCTGATCTCCATTAATGACCGGGCCTCAAACCCTTGAGGATATGGGGACAAGCTCCTCTGCTGCCACCGAACCCCGGACGGCTTCTTCCACGCCCTCGTCGTCGTTGGCCATGAGGCAGGACCTCGATCAAACACTGCAAACCTCACAGAACTCGACAAATCAACCTTCTCAGAATGCCATGTTCATGGAGCTTCCAAAACCACCCTCCTCGGCCGAAGCATCGCTTGCGGCCTTGCAATATTTGCCTGTCCCTGTCATCGTCCTCTCATCGCTCAAGACTGTGCTGGTCGCGAATGACGCGTTGGGGACCCTGCTCGGCCTTGATTTGACAGCAACGCCACATCAGGATGTGTCAAGCGAGGGAACAAGTAGCGGCATGTCCATGATAGAAGCGCTCAGGGGCCAAACATTGTCCCAGTTGGGAATCGATATGCTTCAGGATGGCCAGCCAGTATGGATCGATTGGGAGGTACGGATATACTATTTATTCCATGAATTTTCCTTCCCCCTCCCCAATTACGTGAAATATGATATGCTAAGCAAAGGAATGATTTAGCGATTTTTTGACACATTGGCATCCGATATCGAGCGGAAATCTTCTGCCAGCGACGTCCCCCCCAGGCCTCTGCTAGCCTCTGATCGCAGTCGTGATGGCAGTTTGGGATCATCTTCAAGAAATGACTCCCGCTTGCCTGGTTCCGCGGCCACTGGCAAAGCTAATGCCGAGCTGGGCGCGTCCAACTCGCGAGCGGTCGTTCATGATAGCGTGGTCCAGGTGGTTGTTTCACCCCGTCAACGCGAAATATCGAGCGGCCCTCCACGCCAGACTCGTTGGGTCAATGTAACGGATAGCCAGGTCCAGGCGACCATGGTCATCTCCATGTGGAAGATGGACGATCAACAATATTACACCTTGACGTTTACCAGCCCCGAATTATCTCCCAAGTCTAATCCTCCGCCGTTATCAAGAACTGTGTCGCGAGTTGCCGCCAATGATCTCACGTCTCCCGCGCTCTCCTCCAGCCCCGGTTCGTCGAATCCCTCGCCCACAGCCGGGCCAGGAATTGTGGGCTCCCCTTCAGCCTTGTCTGCATCCTCGCCATCACTCCCTCTACTACACCAGCCCGCACATCCCGGATCAGCCTCTGCCCCTTCGGCTTTGCAGAAGATTACGCGCATGAAGGATGCCATTCTCAGTAAGCATTGTCGGCGCCTTGAACCTTGTGCTTGGCTAATTGCTTGTCTCAGATTCCATGGAAATCCCGGTCTTTGCCATGTGGAAAGACCAAAGTCTAACCATTCCAAATCGAGCTGGGAGTGAACTGCTCTCCCGGGATGTTGATCCGCTCTCTGCCGACGGTTATGATTTTACCTCTCGATTAAAGATATACACTGAGGATTTCAAAGAGACGATTCCACCGGAAGAATACCCATTAATTAAAGCAACAACAACAAGAAAGCCGGTCAAGAACTTTCGTGGCGGTACCATTGACCCGAAAACTGGCTTGCACACACGATGGGACTGTAGTGCTGAGCCAATCTTTGACGAACGGACAAATGAATTCCTTGCGGCAGTCCTGTGGATGCGCGATGTGACGGAGGTAAGCTAAACGGATCACTGCCCCGAGACTTATCATGCCATTCAGCGTCGATGGTTGATACTTATTGTTGCACTCTAGTACACCGATCAAATAGCAGCCCAGGCGGAAGAGATAGACCAGCAATTTCAGGTCATTTGCGATACCATGCCTCAGATGGTTCGTTCTTCCATTTCTCTTCCCTCCCTTGCATTTGGAGGGGCACATTCTGACAGTGATTCGTCTCCTCAGCTCTGGACTACCGGGCGGGATGGCAAACACGAATACTTTTCGCAGCGGTGGTACGATTACACGGGCCTCACGGAAGCGGAATCCATGAGGGTTTCCGGATGGACGGTTCGTTCAATGCCAAGGATTTTCAACGTTGAGAACCTGGATGCTGATTTTCCAGTTCTTGCAGAAGGCTTTTCATCCTGACGACGTGCCCATGGCTTTGGAAAAATGGGAGCAGTCGTTGCGTACCGGTGAGGCTTACGACATAGAATACCGATGCAGGCGACGCGATGGCGAGTGGCGTTGGATGTTGGGCCGGGCCGTGCCTTTGAAGGATCGCCGGACTGGAAATATTCTCAAGTGGTTCGGAACCTGCACCGACATACATGAAGTCGCGCAAGGTGAGACGGCTGTCAAGAGCTTTTTGTGTCCCTCATCTCACTGACCCATTTTTGCAACAGCGCGTACCGAAGCACGCCAAACACGAGAGCAACTTCTCAACGTTATCTCGCATTCCAAGGTTACCTTGTGGGCTGTCAACCGAAACCGCGACCTTGTTCTTCAGGAAGGGAAATTAATGTGGGATGATTTGAACGGAGTTGGCACACCTAAATATTTGGGCCAAAGACTCTATGACCTCCTCGATCAACATTATGGAGCGTCCGGCCTCCTGATTTACCGGACACCAATTGAGAACATTTTCAGCGGAAAGAGCAAAGAGGAGGTCTCTGAACACCGCCTTGCTGGTAGTGGCCGTTGGTTCCGTACCCGCTTTGTGGCTGTCCAATCTCAAAAATCAACGAGTGCTCCCGGAAGCGAGGAACGGAAGGATGGCGTGGTGGAGGAGGTCATTGGAGTCAGCATGGATGTAACAGAGCTGAAGAATCGTGAGGCAGACTTGCATACGCAGGAGAGCGAGAACACTCGGTATGATGTGCTGCCGTGTCCTATGGTCTACCATTGTTGTTCACTAACTTTTGAGATATAGACTTGTAGCCAAGGAAGCAGCTGCCAAAGAGGCGAGCCGACTTAAAAGTCAGTTCCTCGCAAACGTACGTATTGAATAAGACCTTGTCATTGCCTGATTTTAGGTGCTAAGTGCCTCTTCTAGATGTCTCACGAGATCCGCACTCCTATTGCAGGCGTCATCGGAATGTGCGAGCTTTTGCTTGATACGGGCCTCGATCGAGAACAGCGGGAATGTGCTGAGAACATAGCTCGGTCCGCGAATGGCCTATTGACTGTCATCAATGACATTTTGGACTTTTCAAAGGTCGAATCCGGACGACTGGATATCGAGGAAGTTCAGTTCAGCCCCGCTGTCGTGATTCACGACGTTAACCGCATGCTCAAGTTCGCTGCCGAAAGAAAAGGGCTTGCTTTCAAAAGCAATTATCGTGTCAGAAACGACCTTAAACTTATGGGTGATCCAGGCCGTGTTCGCCAAATCATTACCAATTTGCTGACAAACAGCATCAAATTCACCTCTGAGGGAAGCGTGACGCTCGCTGTAACCAGCGATAAGGAAGACGACAATACGATACAGCTTAGATTCGTTGTTGAAGATACAGGAATAGGGATCGAAGAGGAGGTGCGAAAGAAGCTTTTCCAACCGTTCAGTCAGGCCGACAGCTCCACAGCAAGGCGTTTCGGAGGGACTGGATTAGGCCTCACTATTTGCAAGAATGTGAGTTCAAAAAAAAAAAAAAAACTTTGGCAAAATTCACCACACACAGCATTGACTTTTCTGCAGCTTGTGAACTTGATGCGTGGCGATATTACCCTCGAGTCTGCTCTTGGTAGTGGTACGAGAGCCTCATTTTGGATCCCTTTTAACAAGCCCTCGTTTCAGGGCGAAGAATCACCGCTCGCGGACATTGGAACTCTTCCGGACTGGCTTCAACCCGAGCTATCGCTCTCTTGTGAAAGTTCAGACCCTGACATTACCCGAGATCCCGGGACTCCGCCTCAGAGCCCACTCAAAGACACACAACATAGACCACCCGGGGCGCAGCACGCTCACGTTCCAGGCGCCGTCCAGCCTGGACAACTCCCAACAAGTATCGACGCCGTGCTCTCTGAAGCAGAGCGGAAAAATTTCCATATTCTTGTGGTGGAAGACAATGCAATCAACCAGCAAATCGCATTGAAAACAATCAAGAAGCTGAAATTTTCGGCAAGCGCCGTGTGGAACGGTAAGCAGGCGCTCGATTACGTATCGCAGGAACCCACCCCGCAGCACCCCAGACCGGATATAATTCTCATGGACGTCCAAATGCCCATCCTAGATGGTTACCGTGCAACACACCTTCTTCGACGGCACGCACCCTACATGGACATTCCAGCTCTTCTGCGCGTTCCGGTGGTTGCAATGACAGCATCCGCCATTCAAGGCGACAAAGAAAAGTGCCAAAAAGCTGGCATGGATGATTACATGGCTAAGCCCGTGAAAGGCAAAACCCTTGAACGGATGTTGGTCAAGTGGATTCACGAGACGAAAAATAAAGGGTGGACCCACGAAAAGGCCGGTCTACCATCGTCGAAACACGATGCGGAGTGTGGCCAGAACGATGAAGAACAGTCTAGCCCTGAAGGAAGCCCTGATCGGAGCAGTCAGCTTGAACCGGAGGCGCGAGATGCTCAGGGTTCTCCGCTAAACCTCTCGAGACAGTCGTCAGAGACGAGAAATCGGGAAATCGCCCAGGAAGCACAGATGCCTGGACCAGAAACCGAAAATGAGCGAGGATTGAGAAGAGCCGCAGCGGAAGAGAAGGCGAGCTCGTTGCGGGATGACAAGCTTCTTGATGCGAGTGGCTCTCGCTCGATGAACGAAAACCCAAGGACCGGAGGAAGTCCTCTTTCGACGCCACTCACGGTAGAAAATGTGACAAGGTTATCCGATGACCAACAGCAGCAAAACCTTGGTCAGGGCTTAGCAGCCCAAATTCCACAGTCTCAAAACTCCTCTCTGGCGGTGAACGGGATTCCACTCTCTGCTCCACCATCCAAAGTAAAGACTTCAACCGTTGCAAATTCTGATCGACCCCCGGATCCGCCCCCTCCAATCAGAACAGAAAGCAATGAAAGCGACAAAACTCTGACGAACAAGGATAGAAGAGCCGAATCTGACCCGATAAAGGCTTCGCAAAAGTCCTCTATGGAGAGTGGCAGTAAGTCTGGTCGGTGACGCCCATTGTTGCTCGATCTGCTTCTATAAATTCGGGATTTCAACCGCTAGATCAGTTCTGATCTGACGATTTATGATCCTCATCCTCACGCCATCAGTCTCTTCGGCCTCAGTACTGCATATGAAGCGAGTAAAATGTGTTGTCTTATTTGGGCTGGTTTATGGGCTACCTTGCATTGCGCATAAATTTTCTCTGTATGACCGTGCGGCATATATCCACTGTGGTTTCCTTTGATGGTAGTTGTCATCACGAAGAAGTCCTATTCATTTCTACCTCGCAGTATTTTCTGCAATCATTTGGATCATTTAACGATCGACTTTCGCATCGTTGCTTTTATTCAACAATGCATGATACTCTACATGCATAGCTCATCGACCATGATGAGCATTCCGGCGTGCCATTCTATTTTATGCTGGCACTGTCGCAAAGAAAAGTGCTCAGACGCAAATTCTACTCTTAATTTCACGATTATTATCATATGTACAGCAAAAGGAACAAGGAAACGGGAAATAACACACTGCAAGCTTGGGTCTGTTTTTATGTGTTTTACTTATATACATGGGCCATTTATAGGTGTTTTGGTTTTCTGTTTCCAGCAAATTCTTCGGTCTTTTTCCCTTGTTCTTTTGGAGTATGGTCACACGTTGGTGTCTTGTCCGGATTGGACCTTGTGTGGGAATTTACTTTTGAAGTTTTGGAATAAAAGCGGAGCGTCTTTTGTTTTTCTTCCCTTCAATCATGGCATCTACACTTCGCGGGCCTCTGTTGTTTTATCAGTTAATCCATTTGGGGGGTTTTATTTGCATGTGTCGGAGCACTCATGGAAGCTTGTCTCTCCTCTTGGCATTCTCCTAGTATCTCCTTTTGAGCACATTCAAGCACTCCTCTTATCGTTTACTTTTGTTACTTCAATCTTAGTCCTTGACACGAGATATGACACGACTGAATACACACTGCAATATAAAGGGATTCAAATCACGTTTTCGACTTGCACTTGTGCTGTGTTGGGGTTCCCTTCGACGCTCTTGAATGAAACAGGTAAGGAAAGACTTTTAACAAGTTGTTTGAGGACCCAAAAAAGCTAATTGCCATCTTCTTAGGATACGATAATCATATATCTTCCACCTTTGCTAGATGTCCTACCCTTGCTCAACTCATCAGAGAATCCAAGCTGCTTTGTAGCACAACTAAGGCAGCATCGGTGCAGTATCATAGTATTATATGCCTTGATGCAGGCAAACAGTTGTGCTGTAGGGTCTCCTTTGGTCTGCATGATAACTAAATATGGTCTGCGCCGTCTATCACCGATCGCTATCCCATGAACAGGAAGCGTAAAGACTCGACCAGGCATGTCTGAGACAACAAGAGGCGTGTTAGGGTCATGCCTGCAAGGAAGAGACCTGCGGACTCGCAGAGATGCATCGATGGCATTGTAAACATTTAGTGGCACGTCCTCTCCAGAAATGCGCGCTGTGACGCAAAGTCTAAGATAGTCAGGGAACTCGAGACTTGTGACAAGTACACTCTGGGGTACATCAACGCTTGACGGAACAATCACCTCTCGCTTCTTAAGCAGCCGCTCCTTTGAGGCTCGGTTGAGAGTCATTTCGGCCAACATACTCCTGTAGAGATGGCCGTTGGAGATTATATATCCGTCAGCAAGTATCCAAAGAGGGCGCGTTGTTGGAACACAAAGTTCTAGGGAGTAAAGAGTTGAGGGGAAAAGGATACTGCCGTTGCGTTGAGAGGCGAGTATGAGCTGGCTTGAGCCATAGTCTTCTGGAGCTGTTCTTCCACTCCGGTATAGGGGATGTCCGGGCACTCTCTTCGAAGTCGCTACCAGAAATGATGTTGCGGGTGCAAAGTCTGAAGGTGCCGCAGAAAGAATATCACATTGGCTGACACAAGCATTGTCTCTTGCATCAATAAACAGACTGTACAAACCGGCATTAACGCAGCGACCAAGAGTATACCAAAAGTACCCAATAGGGCAATCAATGAATGCTTCCTCTTCCTCTCGATCAGCGCCGCTTTTCATATATGCCCAAACCTCGATCAAATCGCAGTATAAAGCGCAATCATGTGTGCATACGCATTTGACATGAGAGACAGTAGCAGCTTGCAATGCAGTGTTGATTAGTGCTGAGAATGCATCATCCGGATCTTTGTATTCTGTTTTCACTAGTGAGATGTTGAGGATCTCGTTACACCTTTTCAACATCAAGTCCTCTGGGAATTGACCGAGAAGGCTCATCAGAGGATTGAATGGAGAGCCAGGAAAAGGATGACCAAAATCGAATTTTTTCTGGAAAAGTTCTCCCGTTGAGTTACTTAGAGCAGGAAACGTTAATAGTAGCTGCCCAATTGCTTTCAATAGTTCTGTGCCGCAGGATACTCCAATCTGGCACAGGTTCAGTTGGAGCGTTGCGCTTAACCAACCTCGCCAGTGAAAGGACATATTCTCGCATGAATCCGGTAGAAAAAAAAAGTGATTTCTAAAAGGCAATTCAATGCCTTGCAGTCTTCCTGGGCGCCCTAAGATAGTCTCAAACGAAATACACAAAGGCTGATTTGGATGGTCGGTAGTGATGTCTACTATAACGGACTTGCGGGGTCCTTCAAGTATGACCCTTCTCTCGACTGTAATCAAGCTCTCCTCTGGAAACATCATCGCGACCAGACCCGCTATGTATCCCATGCATTTGGTGCCCTTGAGCCGCACGATAGTCTCCTCGGAGCGAAGGGCTTGTGAAATTGAGCTGAGCACCTCGGCGATGGCATCGTTAGATATAATCTCCAAAAGATCGACGGGGGCAGGCTTCTTGAGAAGTTCATAAGCTTGAAATATTCGATGTACCTGGGAGGCAAGCAGATTGCCAAATCCCAAGCAAGACATTTTTTCTTTGAGCAAGCTGCCTGCCTGGTCAAGCTGTTTTGGACTTGCAAGGACACTTGTCGCTGGTAGAAGCTTCCGCGACAGTAGCAGAAGTACTAAGCCCCCGCTGCTGTAAAAAATCGAGAATATGCCCAAGCACAACAATGCTGCTGCTTGACCACCAGCAGTATTGGCCATGAGCGATGCTGCATCGTTCTTCCTCCAGCCTACGGCGAGAGATAGACGGTCGAGCCGAACTGAGGAGCAGCGCTGAAGACAGTCGGGGGTTTTTGCTGCATACGGGCCGCTAATGAGGAAAAGACTGCCGATTGCTTCCATCTGCGTCAACGCCACCGGCGTAACATTATCGGCAGATATGATCGCGAGCAGATCTTGGACAGCGGACAGACTTTTCAGCGATAGATTTCCGACGTCGAATTGCGTACTGAGACTATATCGATGCCGTTAACTTTCCAAATATCAGGAGAAAGAGGACCATGACAAATTTGCAGAATATGAATCCTTGCGACTGCCACTAGGACTACCGCTGAAGATCAAACGTGGCAGTATCGTCAGGCTTCAAAGAAAAAAAAAAGGAGAGAAATACCTGTTCGAATTACCATTAGTCGCCATACTTGCTAACTTGCTTCTTCTTTTTTTTTTTTTTTTTTGTGTATATAGTGACGCTGGGTGCAAATTACTCACAACGCCTCGACCTGGAAGGAGACTGGAACTCCATTGGGATGTAAGGTTCCATTTTATATCAATTGCGAGTGTTGCTCAGCCTGGTGCTCAGCCTCGCGGTGACCCTTGCCCTGTGAGGCTATTGCAATTCCTGCAGGTTTCGTGAGTTGCGAGTATATATACATGTAGACGGACAGTCGTTGATACCGAAAGGCAGTCACAAAATGCTACATTGCTACTTACAGAGATGTCTCAGATACCTACCTCTTACGATGCACCTACGATACAGATGAACATACAGACTGTCATGTTGATTTTTCACAGGGTCCCAAGATATATAAATAACTTCTCAAGCCCCTTTTGGAAATTAAAATTTTTATATCTTCCCCTATTCAAGTTATTGGCCCTCTTTCGTTGGGCTTCGGATTAAACTTATATATATACCGGATGGGAAAAATTAAAGAAACGGCACAAAGCCTGGTACAAAATAAAGGATTAAATCATGACCTCTCTAATTAATATAAAAGTAACTCGACATCCCATTCAGCCTTATGGCTCAATGTAAAACCGAATTACCTTATAAGCAGTTTGTCCACAACTACATATCTCAAGTGAGCAATTCACCCCGAGTCGTTGTCGTTCCGCCAAGGCGCTAAAAGACAGCATAGCTGTCGCTCTGTACACCAGACACACTAACGGGACGAATTTCCATTTTTGGTTAAAAACTAGAGAGAATAGCGTCGTTCGTCAACTATTCCGTGAGCTAAAGTATGATATTCCACGTACAGTTATGACCTTATGACGCCCACAGTTTCCCCCCCAGGTTTTTTGTGTGTTAAATGTTCCGAGGAGAAGACTTCAACCCGCAGGTGGCAGAGTATATATATAAGAGACGCTGCAACCTACGTTCCTACGTCCAAATGGCTATTGCGGGGACTTCAATGTCTGAATTGTCGCGCGTGTATGGGTGTTTAAAATGAATAGGCCGGTAGAGCGCCAAGCCTCAGCATCTCACGACCATGAGCTGGAACTTGAGCAAGTCCCGGCGTCTTCATCTTCTGGAGGTATAGATGCGGCGCCCTGTCCGGGGAGGGTTCATTCGCAGAGGCAAGAGACGCAGAATGAGGTGCCCCGGGAAGAACGAATTTCGAGGCTGCAAGAGACGAGATTGCAAGAGAGGCCGGATGCGATAGAAGAAAATATTCAGAGAACGCGAGAAACGCCCGGGACCATAGATGAAAACAATGTGATCCCGGGATTTGAGTCCGAGCGAGCGCGAATCGAGCGGCTGGGCAGAGAAAGACCGCCGCAGTTTCATTCTCTGTTGGCGGAAATTGGGTTTTGTTTTTCAATCTCCATGTCCCAGGTTTTGGCTGTAAGTTTCTCTTTCATTTACAGATATCACCAATATTTTATTCTATCTGGACTCTTGAAGAAGAAAATAAAAGAAAAATAAATAAATAAATCGATGACAAAAAAACCAAGAAGAAGAAGAAGAAGAAGAAGAGGAAGAAGAAGAGAAAAAAAGAGGACTTAATAAATCCAATGCTGACCGCCGCAGGAATACTTCGTGTCCGGCTTCAACGTCGTGCTCCCCAGCATAGTGACCAAACTCAACATCCCGTCCGAATCATCCACATGGCCCGCCAGCGCCTTCTCGCTCGTCATTTCCTCTTTCCTTTTAGGCTTTGGGCGGCTCGCAGACATGCACGGCGGATACCCGGCCTACGTCCTCGGGTTTGCCTGGATGACCGTGTGGTCCGTGATCGCGGGCTTCTCGCAGAACGCGCTCATGTTGAACTTCTGCCGGGCGCTGCAGGGACTCGGCCCCGCATCTTTTCTCGTGTCCGGCTTGATGCTCCTGGGCAGCATCTACCGGCCGGGCCCGCGCAAGAACGTCGTGTTTAGCATCTACGGCGCCTGCGCGCCCCTCGGCTTCTTCGCGGGCATTTTCTTCGCCGGCCTCTGCGGCCAGTACCTCACCTGGCGGTGGTATTTCTGGATCGGCGCCTGCCTCTGCGCCATCACGACCGTCGCTGCGTACTTTGCCATCCCGTCGGACGTGGCCGAGCGGCGCGCCCTCGGCATCAAAATGGACTGGTACGGCGCCATCTTGATCTTTGCCGGTCTCGTTCTCGTCGTGTTTGCCATTACGGACAGCTCCCATGCCCCCCGTGGCTGGGCGACGCCGTATATTTTTGTCACGTTTGTCGTGGGCGCCCTACTGCTCGCCGTCGCCGTCTATGTGGAGGGTTGGGTCGCAGAGCATCCCCTCGTCCCGCCGGATCTGTTTAGGATCCCGTATATGAAGCCGCTTGCCGTGACGCTGTTTCTCATGTATGGCTGCTTGGGCGTCTATTTGTTTTATGCTACGTTTTAGTAAGTCCCTTTTATATATTTTTTTGTCGTTTTTTCATCTCTCTTCACCTTCCTTTTTTTTTCCCCATCTCTCACTTGTAGTTTACATTTTTCGCCCTGTTGTTGTTGTTTTTTTTCTTTTCCCCCCCGTCCTTTTTTGAGATTTCTCTCACACATTCACACATTCATACATTCACACATCTAACAACCACAGCATGGAAACCATCATGGGCGCAACCCCGCTCCAAGTCGTCGCCTGGTGCGTCCCCATGGCTCTCGGCGGCTGCATCATCTCCACCGTCGGCGGCTTCTTCCTGCACCTCGTCCCGGGCACTATCTTGATCATCGTCGCCGGCATCGCCTGGACCATTGCCCCGCTGCTCTTTGCCATCGCGCCCGCCCCGCACGCGAATTACTGGGCCTACGTTTTCCCTTCCATGATCTGCGCCACCCTCGCAGTCGACATTACCTATAGCGTCACGAATATCTTCATTAGCACCAACATGCCCAAAAAGAGACAGGGCCTCGCCGGCGCCTTCATCAATAGCGTCTTGTATCTCGGTATTTCGTTTCTCCTGGGTTTTGCCGATATTACTGCCGCCCAGACTTCTTCTTCTTCCTCTTCTTCGTCCTCTGTCTCCTCGAGTGACTCGTCGTCGGCGGCAAAAACCGGGACCGTTTCCGCGGGCGAGACAAAGGCGTACAAGTCGGTGTTCTGGTTCGAAATGGCATGCGCCGCCACGGCGCTCGTTGTGGCGATTGCGTTTGTGCGCATCACGGAGGCGAAAAGCGATATGACGTTTGATGAAAAGGAGGCCGAGAAGCACGCGGAGAAGGATGTGACGGCTGTAGATGCAGGTGCAATGCAGGAGCAGAGGCGTCGCGTCATACTTCAACTGGAGTAGCGGTAGAAGAAGAAAAGTAAAATACCCTGTGTGTAGAATTGTTTGTATAAATTTTGGGGGCGGAGGGAGCATAAAGTAGTGTACATTAGTGCATATATCTCCCACTCTAACCCTTTATATCATAGAAACGGCCAGTCATTCTGGGCGGTGGATTGAAACCAGCCTGAATATGGACGGTCTGGAGGATACCTTAGCGTGATTTTTATATAGACATAGGTTGTACGGAATTGGTATCGCGAGGGCATGACTAGTAATATGACTATATTGTTCTGCTGCTTTCACCCGTTCATAGTAGTTCTTGGAAGCTCAAACTATTGACAGGCACCAAAGCTTTTCGTTTCTAAGCGCAATTAATCTCCAGCATATTCATCTCAGTATATACTCCCTATTATGCTTTTGTCTTCATCTTCGAGTTCCTGTAGAGTCTTGAACGTTGCCTTGTTGCCGTCAGGCGTTGCGTTGGCTGGAGGATTGCTGTCGTGATGTAGGGTATCAGAATTAGTACTCGAGTTGCTGCCACCATCATTAAAACTATGGGCATGATGAGATGGATGCTGATTGAAATGTGCATGCCCTGAATTGCCAGTATACTGCTCGGCGATATGATCGCCCAATGCATCAGCCTGGGCACCTGGGTCCATTCCGGACAACTGCATGCGGCGGCGGAGGTCCTCGATCTCGACAGGGGAGGATGCAGAGGACGAGCGCGCGAGGGAAGTCGCGCCGGTGGTAGGATCAGTGGCACGGGTTATTGGCCCTTTTGGCCGATGGTGGCTGGCTTGTCGAGAAAGGTCGGCATTCGGTACAGAGGAGGGCGCAAGTCTGGAAGAATCTTCGCTTATTCTGTCTGCCGAGTGTAAAGGTGCAGACTGAGGTGCCCTTGACTTGTCGTAGGTATGGTGGTGAGGGTGGTCGCCATCGTCCCCCGAGTCGGCTTCTGCGTCGGAGATGAACGGCTCGGGGCTCGAGACACCAGAGCGGGAGCCGCCAAAGTCTCGACCAGTGGCTAGGACGGCGACGCGCGGAGAAGCAGAGGAGAAACGGCCTTCTGGAAAGAGCGGCGATGACGGGGAGTGCGTCGACGAAGAATGTGTAGTTCCTGGGAGGGCATGGCCTTCCGGAGTCTTATATTTGTCGGTTGACAGAGATAATGGTGAAAATTGCTGACTTGCAGATGATTGCGGAGCACTCGTAGAGTTGCGAGGGAAGCTCATAGTTTTAGATGTTATATGGGATTGAGACTGCATCGTGTGCGGCTGGGATGATGGCGAATGCAAGGCACTGCTTGCTCCCTCTATTTCCTCGGGTGATAGCACATGTGCCGGTCCACCAAGAGCAGCTGCATCGGATTTCTCTGCTGCAGGCTGTGCTGCCGCTTGCTTTTCCGCCTGCTTTTCCGCCTGCGCATCTGTTTCAGTCTGCGTCTGCGCGTCCGATGTCGAGCGCATCAAGAGAGATTGGCGTCTTTGCGACTTGGATGTGCGGGGTGTATGATCACAGCCACTGATGCAACCGCCCCATTTGTGGGGCAGGATGGCGGGAATGTCTGATGCGCTGTTGGTTTTGCCGTCGACATCTGCTCGAAGTTCGGACCAGGTCCGTAATTTATTTTGCAATATGTATTTTCCTGCCTCATTCTTTTTCATTATGATAAACTCGCAGTGCTCAATGTTTCGTAGATCCTCAAAATACTCCACACTCCAGTGATACCTGTGAGGAGGAATGAGTAAAATATTATACCAGAAAAGTCAATAGGAAGAAAGAGATGTGGTGAGAGCAGCGAGGTGGGGAGACGCATTTCCAAATTCTTGTGAGTTGAACAAACAAAATTGTCAAAACATCAAATAATAACACATTTCAAACGTACCACTTCATGAGAAAGACCCGCGTCATTAAGCCGTGTGTGACTAGAACATACACACTTGCACAATCGTCTTCGCCAAACTGGCGCCAGAGACTTTCATTGAACCCGCTGATCCGGTCATAGGCATCTGCCGCTGATTCGCCATTAGGAATACGATAAAAGAAATGTCCGTACTCTGCTCTTTCCTGCCACATGCGTTCCATTTCTGCCGAACAAGGTTGAAAGTTGCCAAAGTCCTGCTCTCTCAGACGTGGCTCCTCATATACCTTGATGCTATGTCTGCGAAATGGAGATGGAGCAGGGTCATCAGACGTCAGAGAAGTTAGAATTCCTTTCCGTTTGGTCAGTATTTTGATCGATTTATATCAGGTAAAGATATCGGAAAGATCAAACTACCTTCTGTTGTCTCCCTCGTTCTCCGATATGGACTAGTGAAAAATTGGATTTTATCATCGGGTCTCAACATGGAACGAAGCCTTCTGCCGGCTTCAAGGGCCTGCCAAAAACGAGCAATCAGTCTTCGAAAGGGTCATCAAGATGCCATTCAAAAGATCTAACCTGCTGGTGGCCATCTGGTGTAAGTTTCACCCTATGATCTGGCACTGTCTGATGGATTCCCCTATTTTCTGCATTAAATGTCAGTTATGCTTTGCAAGAACAATACCCAAATAATAGCAGACAATTAGAGCTGCACGTGACGTATAATGTGGTAAGATACAGGAAAAACAGACTCTGCATCTCGAAGAGGCGAGGATCAATGAGCAAAGAAGAAAAACAGTCAACATTAATTGCAACATACTATTTCCTTCGGACTGAGCGTGGCGAACAAGGATAATCAACTGGACCCCGTGGTCAGCAATCAGGGCACTTATAAGAAGCCATTCAAGACTCACCCGTGGCCTTGCCATGTTGAACCGACCTCTCCTTAAGACCAAATATCGGATTTGAAATGTCCCTGTCCTAGGATTCTGGACTGATCCACAATCATGTATTATTGCTGGCTACTGAAGGCTTTTGAGCGAATCAGAACCTGGAAAATAAGGCTGACGAAATGTTGCCAATCGATAACTAGACCCCAAGCTCAGTAGGGTGAGGCACAGCGCCAGTGGCAAGAGAGGAATAAGAATAGCTGAGGAAATGACCGATTCAGCTACAATAAATAACAGTCCCCTGTTCCCTATGCGGGATCCAAGTAATCACTATGCTGCCGGCAACAGATGATGAAACCCACTTTGATGCTTTGTATTGTCGAGCTCCGCAATCGTTCCATGTTGCCGGATATGTTGGAGAACTGCGTCAGTGGTCTGTAATGGTCATCGTATCGAAATTCCGCTCACAGTTGTCCGTCAGTTCTTCATATGACGGCAACAGACGTGACATTAGAAAACGCAAAGACCGCTTACACCCTCATTTTGCTTTTTCCTTTCGAGAATTTACGCTACCAGACCTATAGGAAGTGGCCCACTTTCTTTAATCACGCGTTTTCGTCGCTTGTTTTATTCTCTCTGCAGATAATCTCTCCTTGGCAGCTAGATACAGCTCCACCCATGTCCGAACCAATTCCAGAGTCCGTTCCCACCTCGGCGGATCCGCGCTCAAAGCGGCCTACCAAGCGCCGAGTCATGACACCTTCGAGTGCGCAGGCCTCATCTGTAGAAGCACTATTTGCCAAGCCAGATCGTGAGATCACCGTTCCCGGTGGACCAAAGCCGAAAACCCTTGCGCCTCCGCCAGAGATTGTTGCCAACGTGCAAGGATCAAGTGCTGGTGCCGGCTCAGGTGAATTCCACGTGTATAAAGCAAGCCGGCGAAGAGAATACGAGCGTCTCCGAATGATGGATGATGAAGTTAAACGTGAGAAGGGAAACGAAGACTTTGAAAGACAGCGAGAGGAGATGAAAGCCAAGGACGACGCAAAGACGAGCAAAAACAAGGCGCGGAGAGAAAAGCAAAAGGCTAGAAAAACAAAGGGTAAAACGGAACCAGCGAAGGGTTCGGATTCATCTGCTCGGGCAAAGGCGAATGGTGTGTCTGGTTTGCCAGCAGCTGAGACAATTACAGCGGAGTCACCTGCCTCTGGGGCCCACCTCGCGTCGACATCAGACAACCCAAATCCCGAGGAGATAGGCATTATCATTCATGACGATGACTGAAAAGCCGCACGCGGTTTGAGCGAAAGGAGCTATCCGCGGTTGCTATTGTTGGATGATTCCCACTGGTTAATTGCATTCATATGGCGTTTGGGCTCAGGCATGAGTACGGGAGGCAAAAGCAAGTAAATTTAAGTTTATTCCGAATGGATCTATATTTTCGGGATACCCGAAGGTGCTTCTCCCTTTGCATACATCTCAGCATATCAAAATCCAAATCCGTTGGTGATCTACCGTGAATCCTACAATTCAAACTCTTTCTTTCCGAATGTCCAAGCTCAATAACGTCTCATAATCGCATATACCCAGCTACTGAACGTTGCCCCAGACACAATTTCAATGAGCAAAGAATGGCATCATTTACAAGAATTTGACTTTAATTTCCCTTCAATTTTCCCCGAAAAATGCAATGCTAGAGTGTTTGGATCATCTAGAGGGAACATGCGCAAGTGATACAAATGAGAATGCTGCTTTTGTACATAATGAGTTGGTCTACTCCTCGGCGCCTCCTCCCATGTTACCTCCAGCCTGTTTAGCCGATTTGGCCGCACAAATGTCGTCGACTCGGAGGAGTAAGCAAGCAGACTGTAAGCTGTTAGTGGAATAGATTCTCCAAAAAAGTTTTGGCGTACATACCTCAATAGCGGTCTTGATGCTCTGTGATTTCACAGCCTCGGGTTCCCATACGCCATACTCCTTCATATCCACCAACGCACCCTTGTCGCCGTCCAAACCCCAGGTGTGAGCACCTTCTGCGTGCTTCGCTCGGAGTTGGGTGAGAACTCTGACAGGACTGCCTCCAGCATTCTGAATCAGAGTACGAGGAATGACCTCCATTGCATCCGCAACAGCCTTGTACGGCCACTGCTGCACACCTTCAATCCCCTTCGCCATCTGTGCCAATCGCACTGAAACAGCCATTTCAGTCGCACCACCACCGGGCGATAGGCGGGGGTGGAATATCACGTTGCGAGCGACGAACATGGCGTCTTGCAAGTTCCGTTCAATTTCATTCAAAATGTCCTTCGACGGTCCTCTGAGCAAAATGGTGCAGGCTTTCGGCTCCCGACACTTTGTGATAAAAGTAAAGTATTCATCGCCAATCTTTTCTATCTCAAAGAGGCCGCAGTTTGTACCGACGTCAGACTCCTGGATGTCATCGACACGATTCACAATGGTTGCGCCAGTGGCACGGGCAATACGGTTGTTGTCAGTCTTGCGAACCCGACGGAGCGCGGTGATATTGGCCTTCATCAAGAAATGCTGAGCGAGATCTATTGCTGAGTTAGCAAAAGGCAGTTACTTTTTTTTTTGGAGAATACTTACCAGAGACTCCTTTTTCCGTGATGACCAAATCAGGTTTCAATGCTAGAATAGCATCGGTCATGCGCTTGACCTGCTCTTCCTCGATCTGCAGTATCCGGTTCCAGTCATCCTCCTTGGTAATTTCAATGTTTGTTTGCGACTCTCCCTTCTTGTACTCCAGTGGGCAATCCAAGAGGACGATCCTGGGATTCTCTATGCGTCTCCTCATCTTGGGATGCGTGATATCTTTGTTGAGCATGACACCATCCAAGACTCTGCTCTCCTCTATCTCCCCGCCAGGAATCTTCTCAACACGAGCGTAACGCTTGAGATCGACTTCTCTTTTGCCACCACCGGCCTCCAAGGAAACTGTCCGCACTGCCTTCAGAGCCAAACTGCACATCAATTCCGACCACCTCGAGACGAATTTTGTTCCGATGGAAGATGAGATGATCGAATACATGGCCTTGTCGTCGTTAATGTCGACCGGCAGAGAAACTTCTTCGATGATTGCGAGAGCGTCTGAGAGGGCCCGCTTAAAGGCGGAGATGATAACCACAGGGTGAATGTTTCGTTCAAGCTGCGGAAGGGCTTGTGCAAGGATCTCTCCAGCTAATACATCATTAGAACACTCCTGTATTCCTTGCAGTGCTTGAATCCTTACCCAAGATGATAACCGTAGTGGTGCCATCGCCGACTTCTTCATCCTGCGTTCTGCTCAACTCGATCATACTCTTGGCAGCAGGGTGCGCAACCTCTATCTCTCGCAGGATGGCGTGACCGTCGTTGGTCAGAACGATGCCTCCCATGGGATCGAGAAGCATCTTAAGCATAGCCTTAGGGCCTAGACAGGATCGGATTACATCTGCCACGCTGTGGAAATGAGATAAATGGTACTCGGAATTATGCGGTAGAGGGCTACTCACGTCTTAGCAGCGGTGATGTTCGACAACTGAGCCTTTCGGCCAGTTTGTCTTTCCCCCGTCTGGGTGTCTATCATAGGTGTTAGTAATAGCAAATGATAGACGTTTCTGCTTCTATGAAACTTCTGCAACACATACTCATAACCACTACCGGAGCCTGCATTGTGACGGTGCAGTTGGTGAAATTTTAGATGTGTAGAAAAGGGATTGCCCGGCCTCAAGAGCCAAGGCGAGAGAACTTGAAAATGAGAATAGAATCAATTCAACGGGACCTTTCCGAAGCTCTTCGAAACAAGTCGGTGTCACTGTTGGCGGTCTACGTCTTGCGAGAGTCGCGTCGCGGTAATTTTCCATTAACTTCCCTAAGCTCAATTCCTACAGTAGGCTAGCGAACATTCTGACTAAGCAAACCACATGCACGTTTATGCCAACGACCATGGCAATCGTGACTATTGTTTTGACCAAAGCCGTTGAACGTCCATCCTCCGAAGGTTGATCTCATTGGCTTGCTCCATGTGTGAATAAATTGGTTGAATCATATCATATCAAAAGAACTATCTTTGATTTTTTTTTCCGGGTTGAAGCCTTATTTTATTCTTCTGGATGTAATGAGAATCCTTCGATATCGCTCCTGCTCAAATGAAGCCCAAGTCGGAAACCTCGATACGATTAGCATTCGGAGAGCAGCATCCTTGGGTGATTCTTCTTTCATTACTGCCCAATAATCTCAAACAGATCTCGATATGTCATCTTGGAAGACACTCAGCCCCGTACATCAGACTATTCTGAAGCTCCTAGAAGATTGTGCGGGTGCTATATGTCGAGTCCGGATCCTGAGTCTGCATCTTTAAATTGCAAGGATGTATCATGATGCTGCAATTGCTGCTCTTGGTCAACACCCACTGGGTTGTTTCCTGCCAACCTTTCTTTCTTATTGAGCACGCGTTCGAGATAGGCTTTGCCGGCGGCCCCATGTTTGGTGACCACTTCCAAAGGTCGTCGAAAACGGGCCCTAACGGTAGATTGGTTGCGACGCGGAATCTTGCTAGGGCGCGGAATGAACGCCAAATCTACACGCTGACTGTTATCAGGCCGGTCCTCCCTGGATGTTAGTGCTCCGTTCGAATCTGGGGTCGCCTTCTGAAGCATCTCGGCCTTGCTGTGAGCCATTGGGACGATGTTCGATTCTGCGGTTCTTTCAAGACTAGGGCGCCTGCTCTCAGATCTGATAGAACCTTTCACAGAACTAGAAGTTTCCGCAATTTCAAACATATCATTCCTTTGAGTCCAATCTCTCCAAAGTTTAATCGGGGAGTCGAGGTCGCGTCGTCCGTTACTTTGCTCGGCTTTCGAACCGCTATGCCTGTGAGCTGAGCCGTTCTTCTTGACTTCAGCATTATCCTTGGCCTTTTGAATTGCATGAGCGTCTCTCATCAGCGTAGATTTGCCGGCAAGAGCTTCAGAATGGCAAACTTTCTCCGAGGCGCTGGCTATATCTTTCTTAGAGGATGAAAAGGTATTCATTGATGGAGTATCTGAATCTCCTCCGAAGCCAGCTAGCCCTTGGTCATCCCCATCTTTGCTTACAGGTCCGACGCTGGTGTCTTGCTTTTTCAGGCTGCTGCGCTCACCCCCAATGAGCCCATCAATTTTGGCAGACGCTCGCCAGCGCCCACTTTGAAGTATTCTTCCTGGGTAGCCATCAACCAAAGAGTCGCGATCATCCTCAACAACAGTTTCCGGGTCTGAAATTTCCTTGTCAGTCCAAATTCGCCGGTCCCACACAGGAAGGTCTGCTTACTAGGCTCCCCAGAAGAGGCGGGAGGATTCACCAGTCTGATCGTTTTGGTTCCGTTCTGTGATAGCTCTGAACTTTCAGAAGAAACCCTAGGAACATGTTCATGAATACCCATGTCAGCCAGAGGCAGTGTTTCCACAATTTCTTGCTGTTCTGGCTGGGTGGGGTTTGTAGCCGCCTCAGACGAGTTTCTGGTCAAAAGAGCACGGAGCTTATCACGAAGCTTCCACTGCCGCTGCTTCTTTGAGCGCCGCATATTGACCTTATTTCCTTTTGCTATGCTTTGCAGCACACTCGAATACGTTAGATTGTCTAGAGGATGCGGTGGCTGTAGATTCAGTGGTCGCAAGTGTTTGTTTCAGTGACCAAAAGTTGTGAGGACGCGAGATGATGCTTCGACAGTGAATGGGAGTGAGTACATTCTCGGGATGTCTGCAGTTCCAAGGACCAAAACCATAACAAGCTCTGCGTTTTCGTCCCAGTATAAGTATTCAGAGAAGCCTGCGGTTTATGCGTTCACTTTGCAAAGTCTTCACCTGATTCATGCCCCTCTTGCCTCAATGACGACCAATTGTGTTGGTGTATCCATCACATATACGTTGCACTTCTTATTTATACTTAAACTCTCCAATCGCCTGACCATCCTAGCCATCCAGTGCATACCTATACGATTTATGAAGCCCTGGAGACCACTTAACTCCATACGCAGAGTGCTTGCTTCATGCCTTTAAGTATCTGACCGGAATATCTTCTGAATATCAGTGTTTTCCTCTTCAAATGTGATCTTTCTCCCTTTTGCAAAGCCTGCAGGCTTAGCGTACGTGCGTTACCTAGAATGTTTGTTGTTCAACAAACCTTGCATTGCAATAGCAACAAGCTTGACATTTGCTTTTCTCTTTGAACAAAGCCCTTGATTGAAGGACTGGTGCAAAACTGGTTTCATATTGAACTCGCCATCATATTTTGGTATGACTGATCGAATTCGGTTGCGCCTTGGAAGCCTAGAGGTTTTCTGTTTCATTGTCGTCATATGTAAAGCATACGCCTCATGATACATTTAGAAAGCTGTCAGGCTCATCTTGATAGCCAGGGCTCCTGAGCTGTTACAACGGTATGCACTGGTCGTACAGGGTTCAGCCCGGAAACATCACGAATGCCGATTGAGCAGGCGAAACGAAGAGATTGCCCTGTATAAGTCTCACAATTTTTCTTCTCCATTTGGTGATATCCGGCAATACGACTGACCAATGATTCAAGTGGGCTACTCGGGTTGGTAGAATGAACCTCATGGAGTATAGACCTAGTTACACTTTTTTGCAGTCTACGAGCAATCGAATCTTACAAAATTCGACAGGAATCTAGAAAGGAATGCATGATCGATAGTTAAGTGCTATATGCCTCGAGCACAATTCCAAGGAAAGAAATAACACGCGCTGCTATTGTGGCTAGTCAGCGTTTCGCCACGAACCACCAATTCCAAATACAATAGGTCTGGACGCCACTAGGTGTTGAGATTCGGCGTCCGAACTTCGATTCCGACTGCAAAACCATTGCTCCATCGAACCTTTCCATGTCATGGAGGCATAATCAATACCCTCCTCTATTTTCTTCCAATTAGATGGGCATTGGATCACGCAGTTTACACCTGATGCAAGAAGTATATCGAGCGCTTCGCAAACCAGGTGAGGGGGCCTGCTGCTTGGGGTATAAATTTTTCGATACGGGAGACAGGCGCAACTCCAATCTCCTGTAGATCAGGACACACTCTTTGAGCTAAGATGCCCTACGCTCCCTTACTTGCTTCTCTCTGATGGATCATTTTGACCGCTGTCGTGGGAATAATGGGGGCCGAAGCACTGGATGAATAACCGTGCGACATGCGCCGGTACAAGTATGCTGCAACTAACCTCCTTGGTGTCGGACTAGAACATGCTGATTCTCACTTGTGCCCTACACTAAGCGGAATGACAGTTAAGAGGGGAGGAAGATTGGGTTATGGGGTGACAATGTGAGCTGAGTGGAGGTAAGAAGACACACATCCAGCGACGGCCTTATCGCAGAGGACAGCCAGTATTAGCGGCTCAAATATCGATCACAAGCTTTCACCACCACAATCTTCAAAGTCTTAAAGAACCGAGGAAGAGGGATTTTTGGAGATTTTTTCGGAGAGTAACCAATCGTGTCCGAATAAAAGTCGGTCCGGACCGTCCGACACCCAATGAACCATTTGACATGAGCACCTCAACAGCATGTTTGGTACAATAGGGGCCCGGGCAGAACATGGAAGATACGAGCACGCTGAAATGGAAGGAGTTCGCAAAGAACAGGGAAGCTCAGCCGCACATCATAATTTGACGAGACCTGATATGGAATGACTAGCCGTTCGGCGTAGTGGAGAAAATCGATCTACGGCTTCAAAAAGCTTCTGGCAGTTGTGGAGTGAGGACTGCGCAAGGTCTCGGAGGAGAGTGCCTGATAGAGTCGCCTTCAGGGAACCCTTCCGGTAAAGATAACTTGATCTCATCACTGTAAGCCAACACTAACGGTGATTATGACAGCGACAGGTACACATTATTGGATGAGCGGGGCCCCAGCAGCGAAAGACCCACGACTAATTGCCATTAGGCTCTCTCCATCGCCTGGCCACAGATGGACCTTATCAGCAGCAACCAGTATTTCTTGCTTCGCGCGCATGCCTCCTAGAGTCTAGTGCCTCAGCTATCAAACCATGCGAGATTGGTGAAATCTCTAACCAAAGCACCGAACGGCTGGATCAACTCTACAAGGGTTTGCTTGCACCGACCCGTGTTTTTCATTTACATTGAGTTTTTGATGACCGCCGTGTCCCGTCACTTCGTCCATGTTTCGTTCTCGAATGGAGCCGGACCCCGAAGAATTTTGGGAGCAGCACGGATGCGCTCTTTTTCGCCTCCTTAATATCGGGAGGGCCGCGGACGGAGGAACTGATCCCTATCCACCTGCTTTAATCGACAAAGTTCCCCATAAGCCAAAAACGTCATTGGTCGATACCCCGCGGACCCCCATCCTGGAGACTTTTTGCTTTGCCGCATTCTACTATGTATCGACGCGGACCCGTTTCTTTTGCTCTGCTAGACTAAAACCTCATTCGTCAATTCGTTGTTGATATCCATTATGAGTTGCGCGTCTGTGCTAGACTCCCAGTCTTCGACCGCTTAAACCTGGGTCGCCTCAGGATGCTTGGTCTTTATCTGTAGGCATAGGCAACGGCCCTTGCCCAACGTCTAGCCTGAAAGGCACCATCTGTCGCGTGGTGCTACTTATCCGTGACGTGCACCAGCGGCGTCGGCTTGTTAGACCCTGGCGCCCCTCCAGCGGACTTCTGATTTTACAGAAACGCCTCCCGTCGGGGTTTGCCCACTTGTGCCTGAAGGAAGGTGTATCTGAAAAGCAGTTTTTAGCTCTGGGTGCTCTCAAATGCTCTCAATTGGACTAGAAGTCCAGGCCCTGTGAAAGCCACGCGGAAACGTCCCAAGAAAGTGCCCCACACATGCTGTGCCAATCCTGTCAATAGTCCAACTATATGTATCAAAGACCCGTTCGAAGTAAGAGAACTTCACCATGTCAGAGAACGTGCTGAACATGTCTGCGGCATCTGAGTCGGATGCCTTTCAGGCTCTGATATCCGGCTATGCTTCATCATCAACTCAACTCCCAATTGGAAGATCCGTTTGGTGGGACGAAGCAAGAGTGGAGGCTACTGTCACAAAGGATTTTGTCATCTCGGCGCTCCGAGCGGATGAAAAGGAAATGCTGCATCGGCCACTGGCATTCGGGGATGGATTGACTGATGATACCTACCTCGACTGGATTCTGGAAAAGGCCAAAATATTCTTTTTGATTTTGCTCGACATTGGAGTTCCCGATCAGATTTTTGGTATTGTGGACGACGCCTGGGATGATGATGATCTACCAATTCCATATGAAGCGGTCGAGCGTTTAGAGCTATCCTGGTCAAAGAACGAAACTTTGGATAGGAAGTTCTTCCACAGACAATACAATTATCTTCTACGCCAGATTCGGCAAGGCATCCACATTGACTATACAGCAGAAGAGGTTGTACCGGTGCAGCCATTGAGCAAGCGTTCGGCAATAGCCAATGCTCAAGGTTCAGAACGCGTCTGCCTCGCTGGCTGTGGGAGCACGCTCTATAGTCGCAGGAAACTGCCCCTAGATGATCTCTCCAGCAAGAACCCACCTGAGCGGGAATTCGCCTACGACGTGGAAACGCTCAAAACTCTGGAGCACGAGCATATCACCCCGGTTTGGGCATCCTATACGCTTGAAGGGTACGGCTACATATTGACAACGCACTTGAGTTCTCAAACACTCAAGCAGTTTGTCCAAAGCCCAGCTCCTCAGTTCAAAGCCTTATCCAAACAAAAACGGAGAGAGACATTGCTTGACTGGCTACATTGCCTTGCAAGTACCTTGACCTTTCTTCATGGCAAAGGCTATCATCACGGCGATGTCCGTCCGTCTAATATTTCCGTGGACTCGACGAATAAACTAGTCCTTTGCGACGTCGAGGCTCTAACGACGCTTCAAATGGACAAACACGACAACGACTTGGAAGCCTATGAATATGGAGCGCCGGAGCGCTGGGTGAAAGTTGCAACCGCCCAGGGCGCACTTCCTCTTCGGCACAGGCCAGGAGGGCGCCTTCACCGGACAGGGTCGTCAAGTTCGAAAAGCACGACACCGTCAAACCACAGCTCTTGGTCCTTCCATAGCAATCACGGTGAAAAATCGCAGCCACAACTTTTCATGGCACCTTGCGAAACGCCGTTTGACCCCTTCAAGGCAGACATTTTCTCATTAGGTTGTACCTTTTTGGAGATAATTGGACTTTTGCTGAAGCGCAAGCACAGCGCATTCTCAGCGCACCGAGCTGCGAAAAACCGGACTGCTGGGAGAGGCGGCGCGCCCGCAGACGCATCGTTCCACGCAAACCTCGGGCAGGTCAACACATGGATTGATGGGCTGGAATCAGAAGGTGCGAAAAAGAACGACTCGCTCTTCTATGGAATCCGTCCAATTCTTGTTTTGATACGGTGGATGCTCTCACGCGAGCCGACGCAGAGGCCGTCGGCTACGCTCGTGGAAACAACCTTGTACAATATATTAACAGTCACATCTCGAATGACTGAATTGCATTGCCCTCATTCAGATGAAAATGACTTGGAGAGTATTCGAGACAGTGTCGCTATGAGGAGCTCTATTCCTTCCGAGATTGAGTCGCTGAAATCAACACTGGCCGGAATTAAGTTTCATGCTTTGCCAGTCTCGTGAGATTCTAAAGGTCCCAATGCAAGGAAAACAAGCTCATCTGGCAGAAGATCTCGGAGATATACGAATTCCAAAGATCTCGCTTCACGTATCCCCATGTTGACAGGTGGACGCGTAGGGGTACCGAATCCGGGCAGTTCACTTCACCACAGGGGTTTCCCCGCTGTCCAGGTCCATGCGAATTTTATTTCCAACCACATTTCTCAAGGCATCCCAAATTACCGCAAGCGACCTCATCATGTTCCCACTATTCCGATGGAAAGCCACACGAGATCTGTAACGTGTTGGAGCCTGATGGAAGTGGGGTTTCCCCCCATTTTCGCGATTCCTACGTGGTGTTTCGATCCCATTTTACCTCCTGCATTCCTCGCCATGACACGGCGCAAAATAAAAGCCTTCAAGGCCTCGCTGTTCGCTGTCCATTTCAAGACCATATAAACAAGGACATTAACTCACGACTATTCCATCTCGCGCCTTAGTCAGCTTACGGATTAAGCACTCCAATCATTCGATTTCTAGGGGGGAAAAAATGGCGACTGACGACAGAGATGTGTCTGTCCTGGAGAACCTCCTTCCAGAAGAACCAGATCAAAACGACGAGAAAGTAGGCCACAACACTCAAATCTCCAGTCTTGCCTTGTCGCCGTCGTCGTCGCCGTTGCGTCTGAGGTCGTTTCTCCCGTCCGCATATCTCCTCAAATGTCTTCTCTTCATCACAATCGCATCGGTCGTCTTGCTCGTTGTTGCGATTCCGCGAGAATGTCAAGCAAAAGCGCCAGTCGGCTGGATAGACATTGCCCCAGACTCTGACGCCACGATATTCGACAGTTGATCATCTCTCAGCTTCCCTCTCGACCAACTTTATAAATAGCCGAACCCTCTGTCGTTTTCGACGCTTCCGACGGCCTCCCTAGGAGACCGTCTCCCACCATGCCACCATACAAGAGTCATCTGCTATATACCAGCTCATATTGTCCACTTCTCATCAAAGGACTCACCACATTGTGCATACATGCATCCATCCATGGGCGATTAGGACCATTACCACTATATCTTCAAAGATCTCGTCTTTGAAAACTTTTGTCACTCCGGCATATATCTCTTTCTCATTATCCGGCAACTCATCCCGCAATTTCTTCAAGGGACACTCTTGTCCAATTCTTCTTCAACCCTCTCCTTCCTTTTATTTTATTTTATTTTCTTTTCTTTTCTTTTTCCAGGGATTCTCATTTTTCAAACAACCTCCTTATTTCTCCACCCACAAAAGCTTACTTGTAACCATGCCTATATTACCTACATTACCTATATATTCACGAACCTCACCTGTTTCTTTCTTTCTTT